GGCTTCACCCACCAAGTCTCCCCCTACATTTGATGCCATACCGGGGTCCACAGCAAAGAAGGCACTACCCAACAAGGCGCTGGCCTCGCCCATGGGGATGGGTCCTCCCATCTTGCCCAGTCTCCCATCTCACCTTCATGAACGCCTAGTGCAAGACCCAAATTGCCAGCACGTGACAGGGTGTCGCCCACACCCATGGACTCCTCGCCAAAATCCCTCCTCATTTTGCATCAAGGATCCACCAAAAAAAAAAAGGAAAAGAAGAGATGGGCGGCGCCCAAACCAAAGCCCAAGAAGCCAAAGAAAAAAAAAAGAAGGAAAAGAAGTGGCGCCCAAGCCAAACCAAGCAAAAAAAAAAAGAGAAAGGGAGAGAGGGAGGGGCGGCGCCCAACAGCAGCCAAGACAAAGGAAGAAAGAAAAGAAAAAAAAGAGAGGGGAGAAGGTCGGCACCCAACAGGAAGAAAAGAAGAAAAAAAAAAAGAAGTTGAAAAAATAGACAAAGTGGGCGACGCCCAATCAGCCCATTCAAAAAAAAAGGGAAAGAAAAGTTAAATAAAGTGGGTGGCTCCCAATCAGCCAAAAAATAAAAAAAATATATAAAAAAAAATTTTATTCGATACCGATCAATACAGCGGAGTCCTGAAGACGAAAAAAAAAAATTCTGCTCACTCAGAGAAAGACGAAACACATGCCCTCAATCCCTTCCTCCCTATGAAAATCAGAGGCTTGGGGTATGGGGGGCAAATGACAAGCACGAATTTGACTGGGATAGGCCCAATAAAAACAATTCGAGAAAGCTCGAAGGAAAATCCAAATCGAAACTGGATCGACCCATTGGAAAAGGAAGACATCAAGAGGTCAACACCCAACGCCCCAAAGCAACGCCCAAGAGACTTGGCAGCCCTTGAGCACCACCTAGGCTGGCCCCTCGGGCGCCTCCCTCTTTGCTCCTCTTCACTTTAGAACTCCAATCCAAGTCCAAGTCACACCAACTCAAGATAGGTTCATGCTCAAGACGAGGATCAAGTCCAATCCAGCTAAGAGTCTTCCTCCGAAAGAATAGGAGCATGAGGGAGTAAACATCGGGATAGGCGTAGAGATCTCCTACCATAACTACACTTACCAAAGTAGTAGAAATCTATTCACCCATATCACCGCCTTACCCTAACTATATAATGTAAGCCCTCTCAACATTGAGGGCACGCCTCTGAAACCTCTCTGCACCCCTACACTCATTGCTTTCTCTCTGTCTCCCCAAAAGCATTGTATCTCTCCGGAGTACTATCATTCATCAATAAAGAACATAGGCCGCCGCTGCCATTCCCGAAAGTAAAGTAGGTCATCCGAGACCGAACCACTATAAATACTTGTGTTGATCCATTATTTACTGTTTTACTCTTAATTGTCATTGATTGCTTGTTTGTCACTCATTAATTGCACCTTTACACATACTTGACTGTTGATCTTGCACAAAGTCAATTTTGTGCATAATCAGAGTCTACCACCATAGACTTATCAACAAAACATAATAGACTCTCATGTAGTGCTTCCCAAGAATGTAAGATTCCGATAATGGAAACTAACTCCACATGATAACAAAATACATAAATAATTTGTTAGCTTTGGTTTAATCTCCAACAATATATACATAATTTGTTGGTATGGTCCACATTTTGCATATTGCAGGTGAAATCCCACCTGAGATAGGCGATCTGAACTTGGAGGAATTAGCCATGGCGAAAAATGGACTTGTCGGTCACATACCATCTTCTATTTTCAACACTTCTTTAAAGTTGCTTAATCTTCAAGACAATAACTTGTTTGGGAGTCTACCATGGGATATGTGCTCGCATGCTCCTAAGCTCGAGTCCATCTCTCTTAACAATAACAAGGCAGTCACGTGAGGCATTCCCATAAGTATTGGGAACTGTACTTTGCTCGTGGTTCTATATCTTAATAATCTCAATTTGACAGGTATAACTTTTTATCATTTTCTTAAACAAACGTTTAGATACCTGTTATTTGTGTAATTAACATTTTTATATCTTTTTGACATTTGATAGTCAATAATATTTAAAAAATACTCACGTGTCTTGACGGTCAATTAGGTTCCTAATAAGATTCCTATCGCATTTCTCGATGTTAAAGCATACTAAATTAATTGTTAAAACCTATTAAATTCAACTATTAGCTAAAAAAGTAATGTTGATGTCATATTAAATATTAATAATACAATTAAATCTTATTTTATTTTTTCTTTCATCATACTCAATTAATTTAACTAAGTAATTATGTGATTGGAGTTAACAGTTAACAGTTTTAGGTGGTGGTAGCTTCTGGGGAGTTCATGGATTGAAAGAGTGTTGAGATTGGATCCACAAGCTAAACGGGTATCGTAGAACTATATGGGTTATAAAGAATGGCCTACACTAGCCCGGGCAACTGGTTGACCAACTTGGCAAGATCAATCAATTTTTTTTCTTACTTTTCAAAGATTTAATCTGATTGTAAAATTAAATAGACATTCCTTATATGAATAGGAGTATCATGAATATGGCAATGTTAATTGGTTATAAGTTAATAGTGAAACTTGGTAAGTTTTAAATTTAATTTTGGGCTTCTTTGTTTAGTGATAGTCAAATCATGATCAAACAGTACGTATATAAAGTATATACCTAAAGGTATTGGGCATAAATTCCCATCTTCATAGTGTGTGTATATAAATATACATATACACACACACACACACACATATATATATATATATATAGAGAGAGAGAGAGAGAGATTGATAGCATTAACTTAATTTTTTTTTTACATTTTCAGGTGCTATTCGACGAGAAATTGACAATCTTAACAATTTGTATATATATATATATATATATATATATATATATATATATATATATATATAGAGAGAGAGAGAGAGAGAGAGAGAGAAATTGATAGTATTAACTTCCTTCTTCTTCTTCTTTTTTTGACATTTTCAGGTGCTATTCCACAAGAAATTGGCGGTCTTAACAATTTGGGTGATTTACACTTGGGTTACAACCGCCTCAAGGGTCCAATTCCAACAGCAATTTTCAACATCACTACACTAGAATCCATATTCCTTGAGAACAATCATCTTTCAGGCACTCTTCCATCAAGTATGGGAATTTGGCTACCTAATCTTATACAATTATATCTTGGATGGAATAATTTGAATGGAATTGTTCCCGACTCTATCTCAAATGCTTCTAGAATCACCAAAATATATTTGGAGTCAACCAATTCTCTGGTACACTACCCAAATCATTGGGTAGCCTAGAACTCCTTGAAGATCTTGTGTTGCCAGGAAACAACTTCACTAGAGAATCCTCATCTATGGAGTTAACCTTTTTCACTTCTTTGATAAATTGCAGACAACTAAGGGTATTGAGCGTATCTAGAAATCCTTTCAATGGCATTCTTCCAGTTTCCATTGGCAATCTGTCCACTTCTCTTTATACTCTCCATGCAAGCCATTGTGAAATTAAAGGAAATATTCCTAATGAGATTAGCAATTTAAACAATTTGGCATTCGTGGACCTTGATCACAACGACATAGATGAATTGATTCCGCCAACAATCAAAGAGTTGTGGAAACTTCAAATTTTGCATCTTGAACAAAACAAAATACCAGGATCTTTTCTGAGTGGTGTCTGCGATTTAAGGAACGTGGGTTTTCTAGATTTGAGCAAAAATGAGTTTTCTAACTCTATGCCAACATGCTTAGAAAATATTACTTCTCTAAGATATCTCTATCTGGATTCCAACAAATTAAATTTCAGCATACCCATAAACCTATGGAGACTCAAAGATCTTTTGGAGTTGAACTTGTCTTCAAATTCTTTAACTGGGTATATAACACCAGAAATTGGAAATCTAAAAGTTGTCACAACAATAGATCTCTCAAGGAATTAGTTATTAGACATTATCCCTAGCACAATTGTAGGCCTACAAGGTATGTCGATCCTGTCATTAGAGCATAACAGATTGCAGGGCTCCTTACCCGAGTCACTTGGAAAATTGGTAAGCCTAGAGTTTATTGGATTTATCTCATAACAATATCTCTGGAACGATTCCAAAGTCCATAGAGATGCTCTTGTTTCTTAAATACCTCAATGTATCTCACAATAAATTAAGAGGAGAAATTCCAAATGGTGGACCTTTTGCAAACTTCACTTATCAGTCTTTTTTGTCAAATGAAGATTTGTGTGGTGCACCTAGGTTCCTAGTGCCTCTCTGCAAGAGTAGTTCTCTTGAAAGATCAAAGAAGAAAATAATGCTTCTAGTTGCATATATCTCACTGGCAGTTGCATCTATGGTTTTGGCATTGGCCTTGATATTCTTTTTGATCAAACGACAAAGGAGAAGTAATGTTCCCCATGAAAATGATTTGTTACCTCCAATAACCCATGGAAGAATTTCCTACTACGAACTTCGACGTGTAACTCACGAGTTCAGTGAAATCAACTTGCTTGGCATGGGTGGTTTTGGTTCAGTTTACAAAGGAATTCTTGCGGATGGGACGCATTTGGCTGTAAAAGTTTTCAATTTGCAACTAGAAGGTGCATTGAATTGTTTTGATACAGAATGTGAAGTATTATGCAACCTTCGCCACCGCAATCTCACCAAAGTTATCAGCAGTTGCCCTAATCTTTATTTCAAAGCAATAGTACTCGAGTATATGCCCAATGGAAGCCTTGAGAAATGGTTGTATTCCCATAACTATTTCTTGGACATCTTGCAAAGATTAGATATAATGATAGATGTCGTAAGTGCATTGGATTATCTGCACCATGGCTACCCGAGTCCTGTGATCCACTGTGACTTAAAGCCTAGCAATGTCTTGCTAGATGAACATATGGTTGCACATGTCAGTGATTTCGGCATTGCAAAATTATTGGGTGAGGAGAGTATTGCAATAAACAAGACTCTGGCAACATTGGGCTACATTGCACCAGGTGACACTTTTACCATTTTAATTTATACCCTTTTATGCATTTGATTCTCTTTACAACTTTGGTTGTTTCTTTTTTTTGGCAATGTAATTTTGTACAATGTGTAACATTCCTTGCGAGTATTATAATTTTGTTGATTAATCATATGATGGATATAGAGTACGGATTGGAAGGATTAGTCTCAACAAGGTGTGATGTTTACAGCTATGGCATTATGTTGATGGAGACCTTTACAAGGACAAATCCCTGTGATGAAAAGTTCGCTGGAGATGAGCCTCAAGCATTGGGTGAATGATTGCCTACCAAATGAGATAATCCAAGTTATAGATGCCAACTTAGTAACACCAGAAGATGAATACTTGACTGTGAATGTGCAATGTGTATCATCCGTATTGGAATTGGCTCTAAAGTGCTCCATAGAATCACCTGAAGAGAGGATTAGCGTGAGGGAGGTTGTTGCAGCTCTCCAGAAGATTAGACTTCAATTTCTTGCAAAGTGTGAAAGGCCTTGACACATGAAAGTATTGTTCATAACATTATCATATGCAAAGTATTGTTGCTGTAAAATGTTTATTTGCTAACATCTTGATATTGTTGTCGCAGGTTGCAAAGTTTGACGTGTGGATGTAGCATGACTAACTGCGAAAAATGTGTATTGTAAGATAAATAAGTAAGGTTTATTGCTCATCTAAAGTGAAGGTCATAGAAATGTACTTTTGATGTCTAAAACCGTGGCATGATCTATTGAGTTATTTAATTTTTTGGCTTATCTATTGTTGGTGATTATTTATTATCGAGTGATTTGGCTATTAATGTTCAGAGAGTAATGGGTGCGCCACAATGTCAAAAGGACTTTCAGGAAAAATAGCTATTTAGAAAAATGCTATTTAGAAAAAAGCCTGAACAGGCTCAAAGTGGAGGTCATAGAGGGGAAAGTAGGATCCTCCATATAGTTAACATGACTATAGACTTTGAGGTGACAACCATTGACCAGAATACGACTGATAACCGCAATAACCCGTATGATTATTAACTTCAGAAAGAAAGACAACTCTTGAAAGAAAAAAGTCATTTCCTGTATGTGGCCTTAGTTGTATGTGTTGCCTATTGCAGACCCATCACCTTGCAATGTTATTTAGTATGAATTCCTTAGCTTTCTGTTTAAGTCTATCCTACCTGTAATTTGTGGTCAATAATGATAAAATACTTCTGAAATTGTCATCGGTGGTTGATAAATCACTAGACCTGTATCCATGAATAGTGTGAAAACTGCTATTCCTGGACAACTAACCAAAGGATGGGTAAAAATAAGTGTGCTGAGGCCTTTTAAGAGAAACCAGAAAAGATGTTTATGGTTTTCACTCCTTTTGTATTTTTTGTTCATGTTCTTTGTTGTGTTTTCATTTACTCCATAAACTCCTTGTGGATAATACGTTGTCACAAAAAAAAAAAAGGTGTGTACACAAACCTATTCAGCGCCAGTCTAAAGATCTCATATAAAGCTTAGGGGGGGAGGGGGGATCCACTTTGTTTATATAGTCAAATTGTTGTCGATAGGGTTGTTAATTGAATTGAATTTGTTAACCTTAGAGTATGTTGTCATGCTCGAGCTCGAACCTAGCTAAATAGGCGACATTAGATTTTTTGTGTCTATTCTCTCTTGTCTCTTCATTTACCCTGTAAACTCTCTTTTAGATATACATTTTTGCAAAAAATAAGAAAGACTTGTGTGCATAAACCTACTCATATGAAGATCTCAGATCACTTTGGTTGTAAAAGAAGAAACCACTCCATTAGAGTCAAATTGTTTTTGAAATGAATGCTAATTGGGTCAAACTTATCGAGCTGGAGTATGAATGGAGCTCAATAATTGACATTAGATTCTTGCCATGGGTGAAAAACAAGTTGAAAATTGCTTCAATCACATAGAAATCTGTTTTGAAATACTTCGCCACCAACCCACCTCTAACCCAGTCGATCTTCCTTTACTGTGCTATAAAGACCAAAGAATACTGATTTAATTTGTTCATCTTCTAATCAAAAAAAAAAATAGTTCATCTCCTATTTTCCTCCTACACTATTAATGAGTAAGGGGTCCACTCATGCATAATAGGTTCCACTTGAACACATGGTAGATGATCCATTGGTACGGATTTATTTGGGTATGAATCAATGGTAGCTAGTAATCTCCAAGCTGCCTAAAAATTTGATGACAAACTCCTTCCTAAAATAAAGTACAAAGCCAAAATCAAGATGTATTTCTAAACTCAAAGTCCACCTTAAAAATAACAATTTTTAAAAATAATAAACGACTACAATTGATAAACTCAAATTTAAAGGAGGAAAATTTTAATTTAAAGGAAAATGAAATATGACCCTTAAATTTTTAAAGGATAATAAAATATGATCATTGATTATATATATTAGAGGACAGTCTATCTCCAATGATTATGACCAAGATATCAGTGATTCTCCACAATTGTAGCAGTTTGTTTTCCTTGTATATTAGTTTCCATATTTGTAATTGTACAACTACCATGTATCTTCTATCTATAAATGAATATCTCCTCACAGCATATTGGCTTGAGGCATTTCCTTTACATGGTATCAAGCCAATAGGTCAAACCTTTGCTAGTTTTTTTTTCTCCATGGCCGAATCCAACACTTCTCTGCTTCCGCTCAATACAATGGTTCACATGGTGACCATCAAACTCACTCCCACAAATTATCTCTTTTGGCGTCGTTAGTTTGTTTCCCTGCTTGAAAGTCAGGATCTTATGGGCTATTTGGATGGGTCTTTGCCTGCACCCGTTGCTCAAGTCCGTGCTGGAAATGAACTTGTTCCTAATCCTGCCTACAAGACATGGCACATGCAAGATCGCATTTTACTCAACCTTCTGTATGCCTATCTCACTAAGGAATGTATGGCTAAAGTTGTTAATTGCACAACAGCTTGTGATGCTTGGCTGGCCCTTAAAGTTACTTTTTCTCATAGTTCAAAGACCAGAGAACTCTAGCTGATGAAGCGTGGCTCTCGTGGTGTTGCTGAATATTCACGCTTTCTCCGATCATTATGTGATCAGCTTAGTGCAATTAGCAACCCAGTTGAGGACAAATATAAGGTACAATGGTTTCTACGTGGCCTTGGTTCTAATTTTAAAATTTTGTCAACCACCATGTTGTCCCAGCTGCCGCTGCCCTCTTTTGCCAATTTGGTTTCGAAAGCTCTCAGCCATGACCTTTTTTCTTGGTCAATCCCGGGGGATTCTTCGTCTCAATCGGCTATTGTTGTCCAACGTGGTTCTGCTTCTGGTAGTTTCAAACCAGCCTCTCTCTTACCAGCATTCGGCCAATTTGCTAAGACCTCTGCAAACACTTGCCAATGGTGTGGCAAAGAACAGCACACTGCCAAGAAATGTCATAAACTTGGCAAACTGTTGAAGAAAGCTAAGACTGAAGGTTTGATTGAAGCATTCGCTGCCACCTCCCTTGATGATTCTCAAGATACTGAGTGGTACATAGACACGGGCGTAACTTCTCACATGACTAATGATATTGTTGTGCTTGATAAATTTGTTCCTTACACTGGTAATCAACGGGTCTTTGTGGGTAATGGTCAATCTTTGCCTATTTCTCACATTGGTTCTCTCTCCTCTCTTGTTGGTTCTCATCCTTTAAAAATGCCTGATGTTCTTCTTATTCCTCACATTTATAAAAATCTATTGGCCATTAGTAAGTTAACTCGTGAGAACAATTGTTTAGTGACATTTTCTTCTTCTGGTTTTACTATACATGATCTAGCAACAAGAACGGTGGTGGGAGTTGGGCGTTGTGAGAAAGGGCTCTATGTTCTTGATCATGGCCATGCAAGTTTTTTGTCCAGTCTTTATCTATATAATTCTCGTGCATCTTCTGTCATTTGGCATGCACGATTAGGACACCCTTCTTTTCGCATTGTTT